ACGAATCTAATGGTGATATCTTTGTTCGAATTGGATCACTGGATGTTGAGATATCGGGTTCCAAAATGACAGATTCATTTTTAAAATTTCCGGTAATATACTGTAGAGGTGTGTATGAGGGAGAAGAGATGTTATATCTGCATTTTATTCAATTAGTTAAAGCTTTATTAGTTAGTTTCGAAATAATTGTTGAACTTTAATTGCTCCGACATTTCAAGTTCAGGAAATTTTGAAATTCGATTTCTATGTAATTAACGTCAAGTTTCAAATATGGCATTTATTAGTTTAGAATTATTTAATTTCATTAAACATTTATTTTTAGTTTAGGATTTGGATTTAAATTTATTACGTTTCGTTAAAGATGGAGGACCCCGCCACAACATTATCATAGATTCGAATTGAATTTATGCGGTCACTAACGCTAACGAACGACTCGCATATGTATACAGTATAGACCATAAAAGGTTACCAAGTTATTATTATAATTTTTTGACCAAAAAGTTTTCGTCTTAGCGTAACTGAAAATTATAGTAGCGATAGTTCTTTGAGGTGCTCGTAAAACTGATTTGCGGTGGAGACATACAGATTTTCTCGGTCCTGTTATACGTGCATGCTGCTCATTGGCTTGAAGAACTGAGTTTGAATCGGACTAGCAAACGTACAAGTCTTTGCACGTAACATTAATGTTAAAGCAATTTCTATTGGTGATTTGCTTTAATTCCTCTTTATTTTAAAATGTGATGGTACACTTCGTTAAATCTTAATGATCAAAGCAAATAATCATGCAATCAAACCCAAAGGACGACGAAAGAAATAAGAAAGAACAGATAAACACACTGCAAACTTCAAAATCTTTGCAAAAACGTGCCGCACCCAACTACTCCAAGTATTCCTTGGAAAATTAGGTCTAACGTTAAGCAATAGTCGTAAGAACCACACTTTGGAGTTTGTGTAAGGTGGGTATCGTGAACCCAAAAGTCTTTCAACGTAATATGGTGTTTCAAGTGTGCTGCGTTCGTGAGTGAATGTATCGAATGATTTCTTGCCATGGTAGTTGCCCATTCCGGAGTTTCCTTTGCCACCGAATGGTAGAGTGGGAACTTTGGAAAATGAAATGTTTATTTTATAATGTTAAAAAAATTCAAGTACATGTATTCGTTAAATGAAGAAACTTACTTGCAAAGTGTAAAATACAATCGTTCACGCATGCACCACCAGATTGCGTATTGTCAAGTACTAAAAATTAAAATTATATATTATCGTATCGTTATACTGCGTAAATTCAAATTATTAATGAAAACTAAGATAAATTAGAAAATGCTCACTATGCTTTGCTAGTTTCTTACTGCTAGTAAATGGATAAAGAGCCAATGGTATTTCTCTGTTATTCACAAACTCGATAGCTTCATCGATACTATCAACCACCACAATCGGCAATATCGGACCAAAAATTTCTTCTTGCATTAAACTATCGTCTTTTGGAACATCAGCCAACACGGTCGGTGCAATATAGAAGTCATTGCGATCAGAATCGCCACCAATTGATAATTTTCCTTTAGACGATAGAAGCATCTTTTGTAGACGATCAAAATGTCGGTGATTCACGATGCGTGCGTAGTCTTTACTTTGTTTTATATCGTCGCCTAGGAATTCTTCAAGGACTTTGGGAATTGATTCTAGCAAAGCCGTTTGCACTGATTTTTCGCAGATGATGTAGTCTGGTGCTATACATGTCTTTTAGATGTTATATTAATATATATAAATTAAGTACACGAAATAAATCTATGAAAATTAAAAAAAAAATACCTGTCCACAATTATAAATCTTTCCCCAAATAATACGCTTAGCAGCAAGCAAAATATTTGCGTCATTTGCCACGATAGCTGGGCTCTTACCGCCAAGCTCAAGAGTAACGGGCGTTAAATTTTTCACCGCAGCTTCCATAATTTTTTTCCCGACAACAGTTGAGCCCGTATAGAAAATGTGGTCAAATTTCTGCTCTAGTAACTTGACAGTTCCTTCCGGTCCGGCTTGTACAATACGATAAGCATTATGATCCAGATATTTTGGGAACAACTCGCCTAAGAGTTTAGCAGAGTGGGTGGCAACTTCGGATGGTTTACAGATCGCTGTGCAGCCTGCTGCAACTGCTCCTACAAATGGTGCTAATGCTAATAATACGGGATAGTTCCACGTTCCAATAATAAGAACGGTTCCTACATTATTTTAATTCATTTAAAAGTTAGTTCTCGAAAAAATCGAAATAAAAATGACTGTTCAAGAACCTATTGGCTCCTTGGCAATATAACACTTGTTAAACTTGTACGCAATCGACGTTTCGACAATTTGCGGTTTCGTCCATTCATCCAATTTATTGAAAAATTCAATAATATCCGCCTTCAGTAAAGCCGTTTCACCTATCCAAGCTTCCGTTCTCGGTTTCCGAAAATCTTTGGCAACCGCGTCGAAAATCAATTCTTCGTTTTCCTCAATCAAGGAATAAAGTTGTTTGAGTTGTTGTTTTCGGTATGCGATTGGTTTTGTCAGGTTTTTAGAGAACGTTTTCCGAAGATCGGCGACAATCTTATGTTGGATTGTATTAATTGTATTGATATAAAGATGATAAAGATTATAAAAATTGAATTTTACCTCCGGGAGATCCTCGGCATTCGTATATTCTAAAGTCATTTTGGAGTCTTCAACATTTATCTAAAGTATGATCATTAATATATCTATACGCTTTTCTTGAAAAAAACCGATAATGAAATTAGTGCATACGGTATAATCCAATAGGTAGCTTAACAATGATGTTTTTATTCTATATATCTTAAATAAGTAATTGTTGTACAACCTGAGGTAGTACATGTACGTATGTATTTTGGAGACTGGTCTTCACGTGTCCCAGTGATACCATTAATTATTTTCGTGAAGTTTAATGCTATTACGAAATTTTATTGCCTTCGGTCCGTTATGATAAAAACGACAAAAGCAAAATAGTCAATTTCAAAAAGAATATCGATATTAATGTCTAATATCTGAATTTAATCAAAAGATTTAATTCTAGCATAAAGCTTCATATTTGAGACAAATTTCAATCACAGTTTGCAAAAAAGGTTTGGAAAGAGAATTCATAAGAGAGGGAATCCAATATTTATAGCATGACATCGTGCATTATCGTTATTCATTATCATTGCGTTAATGATAATTTTATAAAGAACATTAAAGGGTTCTTCATAAATAATCAAACTACAACAACAATTGTTATCGTTATGTAGTATTTAGATATTGAAATTAATGCAATGAATAAATAAAATCAAAGTTTGTTACGTACGTATATTGAATGATTTGACCATTTTCATGAGCTGTTAAGACTTCTCCAACATATGTTCTATCTTCTTACAAACATCCATTTCATGTTCTTTTTATCATTGTGAGTTAAATACATAAATGTATAGCGATAGTAAGTTTTTACAAAAATATAATCCTTCAAGTCATATTTATCTAATAAAAGGATCATCATTTAATGAAATATTTATAGATTACAAATTATATTTGTTCCTAAATAGTAAATTATTTGTCAAAAGCTAAAGTTCTAATCATTATTTTATGACATTCATTACCTGCCTGGTTCCTACGCATTATACAAGAAATGGAACACGCGATCAAAACTTGCTAGAATTTTTATACAAAATAAAAAAGCACTCATTTGAATCATAAGACCTCTAGTATTTGATAAAAATATTTTGACGACAGATTATTTTAGTCGATTTTGTAAAACCGGTAATTTAAAATTAGTAGATTTCTTACATCAAAGAACTTTCTTCTATGTCGGATCCAAATTTGAACCATGTTATACTCTACAAAATCCACCTATGTACCAATTTTCACAAAAATTGGCTCAAAGATTTGAGATTCTGAAGGTTCAAATTTCTGCTATGAACATTAATTCGACTATTTATTTACTAACAGAGATTTGAACCTTCAGGATCTTAAATCTTTGAGCCGAGTTTTGTGAAAATTGGTACATAGGCGGATTTTGTGGAGTATAACATGGTTCAAATTTGGATCCGACATAGAAAAAAGTTCTTTGATGTCGTCAAAATATTTTTATCAAATACTAGAGGTCTTATGATTCAAATGAGTTTTTATTTTGTTTGGAATGATATCGACGAAGATAAAAATTTTAGAGTTTTGATCGCGTGTTCCATTTCTTGTGCGAGTAGAATTTTTTATATATTCTTCGAGTTTCTCCTTCGAATGGCCACACAACAGCGTTCATGAACGTAATCAAATGTCATCTGAAAAAGAATTAGAAAGACAATCTGTAGACGAATATAATAAAAATCTTTACATCTTTAACAACACCATGCCTCTCATTAATTAATAAATTATTATCGTTATTTCCAAACTAATAAATCGATCGCAATTGGCGTTGAATTTACTCAAGAAAACTGACAAAAAACGCTTTATAGAACTTTTCAAACTACTATACCTAGCATTAAAATGTTAATATCTAATTCGATTGGGTTTATGAAAATGAGTCGCAGAAGCTGGAATTATCAAAGCTTGGACGTCGTTACTGACACGGAGACAGTGTAATGAAAGATAAAAAGAAAACAATTGAATGGTATCTGAAATCAGTTGAGTCTGGTGATTTATTTAGTCTTTATAATCTTACGGACTCTTATGTTTGGGGATGACTTTAATATAGAGTTGCAGCAGAAGCTGACGCAATTCAAACATATCATTATGGCATTAAAATGATCTGCGAATGTTCTCTAACGCTAATGCGATTTAAACGTTGAAGCACGAATATCGATATGGTGTTTAATGCGAATATTAATAAATGAACGAAAAATATATCGGAACATCCTTATTTTCATAGCCTATGTTGAAATATTTAATGAGGGATTGTAGCTCTATAGTCGACCTTCTTTATAATCACATAGTTGACAACTAAAAAAAAACTCGTTCTTGTAAAAGTATTATGTTCTTATATAAAAATTGATTTTTTTGTAGAAATGAAGTTCTTGTAAATATAAAGATTCTAATGATACACATAAAAAATATAAATAGCATAATCACTTATTCACTATCCAATCCACCCCCGAACTCGACGAATTTGTCGTACCGAACTCGTAGTTCCAGTTGATAATATTCCGTGCATCAAAGAAACAGGTGAAATCATTCGAGAGAAATGCGGGAGTTTGTCTTCTACATGTGGTCGGCACCTTACGTAATCAAGCAACTACAAAATTTAAAAAACTTTGTAAATAAACTCAGCTCATCAAAGTAATTGATTTTATTCAATTCACACTCACCAACCCAGATTTCATGTATTTCTTTTCCTCGGATATATTAAAAGCTAACTTATATTTTTTTTCTGTATTATTCTTTCTTTCTGGTATTGTGATCACGTAGGACAGCATTAGTTCTACCCACTCATTACGGCTTGCAAGTTGATGATATACAGCCTTTTGAGGAGAACATGTGTATATTTCCTTAGTCTTCTTTTTTTTATTCTGATTATTTTTTAATGATAGATCATTGAGTTTGATTTAAATGGGAAGATGAAGCGAGAAAGTATAATTTACCAAAACTTCTGTACAGAATCTCAATCCGCCAAGACCTTGATGTTTTTTCTCGCATTTCACACGAATCAAAATATCATAAGTTCCTGGCGCCACTGTAATATTTGTATTAATCTAAAATTTATTAATTGTAAACGTTTATTGTTGCTGTTTGTATATTTCGCATATAATCAAACAACTAATATAATTACCTCAAACAACCAAATGTTTTGTAAATGAAGTGCTTTTCCAAAGTGACTAAACGAATGAAAATGCTCAAAATCAGACAAAAAGTAAAGGACAGAAAACTTTTTAATGTAAATACCTTTCTTCGTCTGGTACAATCCGGTATCTCGCTAATCCATTGTCAAGTTTTGGAGCATTACAAGACACGCATTTTTCATCTTGACAAAAGTATGAAATTGAATTTCCTAAAAATGATGCAAATGCATGATGATTCATTTCCTGATCACGTATACGTGTATAACGATAACCTGTTGATAACTCACGTACGTAGTTTGCTATATAGGTTTCGCCATTGCACATGTCCTTGATTCAATGATGATGTTGATTCATGTGAAAGCCATTCATTGATAATGACCCTTTTGAATTCGTTTTGACAGGCGAGTTTCCAAACGAGGCCGTCTTTCGTGTGAGTTAGTAAATTCTTATTTACCTTTTTTGATATACAAAAGATTAAAGAACGATAACAACATTAGCACCACCAAAGTTTAATAGACTAACACTAGGGAAAAACTAATTTACCAAAGAAATTGAATAAAGATCAATCCCGTTTAAAAGTGAAAACACTTTTGCAATAATTTCGTGCGGAAACTTCTCGAAAATATCCTTCATGATGTATATATAATTATCAAATATCCTTCATGATGTACATGTACATGTATTTATTGTTTCAAATATGTATCAAACGTCTGTTTATATATACATGTATAAGTCTTGGCGAAAAACGTGCTATTATCACAGGTCAAAAATAGCTTAAACCCATGACTATAACGTGAACACAAATTCATTATCATATGTATGTCAAATATCGAGCACGATCGACGACATGCACGTATACGTAAAGTAAAAATGCAATATCCCCATTATGGCAATCCTTTAAGAAATGCGTATTTTAATTTGCAATTTCTATAAATGGAATCAGAAAGGGACCTGTGAATATGATTTGAGACATTCATTTATCATTATCGTTATATTGTCTAAAATGGATGATTTTGACATCAAAAAATTTTTTACGTATTTGAGATATCATTTTCCAAGATTATCGTAATTTAAAATCGCAAACACCGCATTCCTCATTATTTGTTCTAGATTTCCCAGGTAGCATTCAAAGTTGTTCTAATTAGAATGTGTTGTCGTTATCATTATGAATTCTAATTAGAATTTACTAATGTAATACAATAAATTACGATAAGTTGTCTAAGATGATTTTGGCAACTGGTCTAATCACATGTTATGAAGCTTTAACTACTTTAACTATCAGACTTTCTTTCAATAATTATTAATTCGGATTCGAATAATAAATCACTAATTACTACATAACGATGACGATAAATTAATTGAACAGCTTAATCAAAAAGAACAATGTGTTTTATTTGGCAGAAATTCACTTTAGACGAAAAATTGAATCACAACATAGATGCAAACAAAACCTAACCTATAACAGGCTAAATATTTCGCCCAAAAAATAAGCATTATGAAGGTGACAGACAAACGAATAACTTTTTTCTTAAAGAATCTATTGATGATACTCAAAGTCAAGCCCATCAAGCCAAAGTGGTCGGAAATAGTAGACAATTCAGTTTATCGAGGTTTATTTAGTAAATTCGGTTATAAAGGTAAATTTACTATAACTGTTTTTGGAACCAACGTCAATTTATCCAGGCTTTAATTGGTGCCTCGGTTGAACGGGATTCAGTTGATCATGTATATGTAAAAACAAATTTGATCTACAACGATAATAAATTTCGACCATTTCGCCTTATACTTGGAGAAATAGATAAAATAGTACATGCATTATTCGTATCACTAGTTTTTGTCAAACCGTTACGGTTTTTTGTATTTTCGTGAAAAGATCGACCACTAAGCGCACCAGTTTAGGAGAGCGGTTAAAGCATAGTTCATCACGTGATATATATTAAAAAATATTGAAAAGTAATTTTAACATTAAGATTGGGAAGGAGATCAAGGTTGTATATGTATAAAATTGCCTTCTCGACATTTTTATTAGTGCTCCAAGATAGATTTAAGCACCCGTTTTCCGTATATTTTCATTTTTTTGTCTGCTTCAAATTTGTTTTGCCGAGTTGATTAAAAATTTATGCATCCTCATTGGTTTGTTCTTCGAACAGATTATCGGATGGACTACGCTTTAACCGATCCCCTAAACGGGGGAATGTCTAAAGTCTGGTCCATCACGTGATACGTGACTATATAATTAAAGATTGATTTTAAGCTTAGGGTTAGGGTTAGGGCTAGAGTTGTGATCAAGATTATATATAAAATTATTTCCTCGACATTTTATTAGTACACCAAAATAGATTTAAGCATCTGTTTTCCGTTATTTTTCATATCTTGTTTGCGCTTCGAATTTGTTTTGCCAGGCTGACCAAAAATTTACGCATCCTTATTGGTTTGTGTTTCAGACTGATTATCAGATGTACCTGGCTTTAGCGTATCCCCCGTTTAGATAAGTAACTAATCAAATAAGTTAATTAAAGGGATAATTAATAATTATTCTTTGAAATTAACTCATTTGAGGAATTCATTAAAGCGAAGTAGTTTCACATGATATATAATCCAATCTGAATTGCAATCATGTGATCAAAATTGAATAACCAATAAAAATACTAGTATTAGTTCACCAATAACAATGAGCTTTAACATTTTTTGAATAAATTCACACTAAATGTACTAATCATAAAGTTGACAAACAATTTTATATATTTCTAGTTGATAGCAAAAATAAACTAATCAATTAAAAATTTTATTTGATTGTTATTAATATTGTTAAAATTAATTTTTCAAGATTACTTTTATTATTTTATTTGAAATATCAATGAAAAATATTAAATACTTACTAAAAACTCATTGAATTTGGTTAGAATAAAACTAATACAAAGAAATTGAATATCTAAAGAACTCTTACTAAATATAATCAATATTAGTGATTTCAGAAAATGTCAAGAAAAATCAATTAACTTTGAATACTTATATTTCTTCCAATATTTAACTAATTTTGTAATCCAAATACAAAGAATACTTGTTTTAATTAAATAAATTAAAAGAATTTGAGTTTACAAACTTTTAAATACAAATCAATAAAATATTATTATCTTATAATTTATCTGGCATTTTACAATTTCATATACTAATTTTAAATATTAATATTTTTACTAATAGTTAATAAAATGTAAAAATATTTATTTTAATTATAAATTATAAAGATTTAATTATATATTTCAAAAATATAAATATTTAATGATATATATTATATAAATTCAATATGAAATCAAACTAAAAATTAATCAAAATTTGTAATAGTATTAATAAACTAAAAAAAATATCAAATATTCACACTTAAAAAATCTAATACAAGCTATTAGTTATTAAAAATAAGATTAACTATTATTTTTATTTTGTTAATATTATAAATTTCTTCAAATTATAATCAATTTTCAATTTAATTTCATATTAATAATATTGTAAATAAGCTTTTAGTATTTTTTTTTGTTAAGAATTACAACCAAAATTTTGCTAGATTAAATCACAAGATATTTATTTGTTTTTGTTTTTATAATAATTATATTATACAAAATTTAGTCAAAAATATTACTGTTTATATTCTGTGATTAATAAAAAAATTTTCTTAAACTCAAACTTTATATATTATAATAGTTTTTCTCAAAGTTAATCAACTATTATTTATATATATATTATATTATTATTATTTTGATTAACTTTTAAAATACTTAAAGATATTTATAATATTCAAAGAAATATTTAAAGAGAAATATGTCTTAATAACAATTTAAAGTATTAATAATACTTTATAACTATTAGACTGAATATATATTAAATATTAAAAATACTAGTAAACAAAATTACTAAAAATTAAAAATAATTTAATTCTTTTAACACAATAATTTAAATAGCTTGAAAGTGTTCTCAAAATTTTGAAGTCAAAGATATAGAAAATATGATATTTGTATTATAACAAATATGACTCAAAAATAAATTTATAAATAATAATAATTTTTTTATTCAAATATAACTTTGCAATTAAGATGAGAAGTTATAAAACTAATAATAATAACTTTAATTTAAATATAACTTTACATTAAAATAAAAGATTATAAAATTAATAATAATTTTTTTATTCAAGAATTATATAATATTTATAACAAAATGTGTTAAAGTGATTATACAAGAAATTAAAATATACTTTGTTAAAAAAATATAGAGAGAAATTATATTTGATTACCTATTTACAATATATATAAACTAAATTTCTTTGAATAATTAAAAGTGATAGATAATTAACTATAAGATGATTATTAAAATGATTACTATCAATAACTAATTTAATTCTAATAATTATAATATATGTTACTTTCATATATATTTAAATTATAATTTAACTAATATATTTGCTAGTTAACTTAAATTCTATTAATTCAATATTTACTTATTTATTTACTCATTTATTTATTTATTTACTTGTTTATTTATTTTTTACTTGCTTATTATATATAATTAGATTCTTTTAATAAGATATAAAATATTTATAATTTAATAATATTGTTACAAGTTTGTTCACTAATCGTTAAATTAGCTTACAAACGAGAACCTGGATTGGGAGAGGGTATAAACTGATAAAGAAAATATTAAGAAGAAAAGAAAGGTATCTAAGACCTATGCCAATTTCTACGGAAATTGTGTTTACTTGAAAAGGAATAATAATGTGGGAGAGTTGTGG